TTTGAATAAACAGTGCTAGAATAAAGTAGATGTGAACTAAGAATAGGCATCAATCATACCTACATTTTTAAGGGGAGCGTCTGGCCAAAATTTTTGAATATGTGCTTTTCTGGTTTTTAGTCTCATCTTAAAGCTGACATTCTGCTCTATCCAACGGTACAAAAATCATCTCTGTACATTGATTTATGCGTTCAGGACAGATCAAGAAAGGGGGGAGGGTGTTGAGTTCTTCAACAAATTAGATAGGAGTTAATTCGGTTCATGGCACTTTAAATGCAGTGCCTGCTTGAGGAGCAGCTCAGTAATCCGCCTGGCTTCGCACGAGGAGGTGTGCCTGCACCTCCTCCAAGGATGTCACCATCCTTGAGTGGAATCAAGCTCCAATAACGTTTAGTTTCATATCCTTGCTACATTGAGTGCCTATTGCAATGCGCGCGGGACTTTGTCGGGCTGTACTGAACATTCACACTTATTGTCACGGCAAACCTATCTCCTCCTAAATGCATTTAATTATGGCCCTATGTCTTGGAAGCGGGTTTTCCATGAAATATAAGTAAATCTGATGGCTATTGTAAATTTGCTGAACCAGTGGTTATTCATCCTCGTAAGTTAGGGCCCGCTTGCAGAGACCCATTAACTTTGTGTATGGAGCGTAGTTATCCCGCTACATTGTGACCGCCACAACATGATGAAATCGCTTTTCTGTTTTCATTACTTACTTTGCGTTTCATTCTGTAGATATATTTACCATAGCTATATTGAATAATTGGTTCAGAGTGAACTGAACAGATGGTTCTTGTTGTAACAGTTGGAAGTAGGGTTCTGGGTAGGAGTTAGTAAGAGACAGGCTGTCACGTGTGAAAGTTCTTAAGTTTATGCTCCTCGGAAAATATCAGTGTATTCATTATCCTTCGCGTACTACCTAAACTATCGATTACATTGGCTTTGTGGTGTGGTAGCAGCGCAGAAAATTGCGGTAGCGTATGCGCCACAACACCGTTATATTAAAACACTTTATTACATAAATTACGGTAAAACATTGCACAAGGAACAACTGACTCTCGTGGACATATCGAAATATCTGTAAACCGACAAATCTAGTTTCAGCATGACGTCTCACTAGACCCTTGTTGCAGTACTGAAGTCCACTTTCATACTACGCGTTCCTAATCCGCACTCTCTATTCTCGATTCTAACTTTCTCTAAAACAATCTTACAATACTAATTCTAATTAATTACGAATTTGCAATACCTATATATTTAATAGAAGCCTTATATTCCAACAGTAAAATACAATTTACAACAAGCCCTCTACATATCACCCCCCACCAAGTGAAATCCATTTCACTTAAAAAACTTGCATTTAGTAAATTTAACAATCTGTACACATTTATTAAATTTCAAATTAGGTTATAACCCTAAATAAGAAATCTTAACAGTAAGCTAGCTTACACGTATTTACAAGCATTTTTAACAAACCAAGAACACTGAGAAAGACCGCATTATTTAAATTGTTGCCAATTATCCATTTGATTTGGTTTCTGTAGATATCATGCAATTTCCAATATCATCTTCTGGTTGTGTAACGGTTTTAGTTTGTTAAGATCATTTTTCTCAATTTTTATATGCTATGCCTCTCAGAGATGAGAAAGCTTCTTCTGTGTGTAAAGTTTTAAATAATGTTATATTCCCAACGATGATCCGACTACCTACAAGAATGCTTAGTGATAATGGTCCGGAATTTAGGTCAGATGAATTTGAACGTACGCTTTCAAACCTTAGCATTGTCCATGTGTTCTCGACGCGTTACAGAGCTCAAAGTAACGGGGCTGTTGAGAGGGGGAACAGATACATAGCAGAGTTGAACAGATACATAGCAGAGAGAATTTGTGAAAGGTATCGTTTGTGAGAATCCTGGTCACGGCACTAATATGTCGTGGTTATAGTGGCAGCCCACAGGTTCGGTATTTTATGAACCACCGTTATAAAAACACTTTATTGCACAAATTACAGTAAAACATTGCACAAGGAACAACTCACTACCGTGGACATATCGAGATATCTGTAAATCGACAAATCTAGTTTCAGCATGACGTCTCACTAGACCCTTGTTGCCGTACTGAAGTCCACTTTCATACTACCCGTTCCTAATCCGCAATCTCTATTCTCGATTCTAACTTTCTCTAAAACATCATTACAATACTATTTCTAATTAATCACATTTACAATACCTATATATTTAATAGAAGCCTTATATTCCAACAGTACAAGCCCTCTACATTGTAGATAACTGGTTTGCCGTTACCGGGTTGCCGTAACTCGATTTCCGGTACCAGGTTTGTCGATTCCTGGTTTGCCGTAACCGGATTGCCATCACCAAGTTCGCTGGTACAGGTTTGTAATGTCAAGTTTGTCATTGCCATTTCCGCAAGAACCGGGTCTGCCACTAGATATTACTCATGGTGGGATGGGGAATATAGCCTATGAGCGTAGCCCTGGAATGTAACTCACGAGCGTAGCCCTGGAATGTAGCCCGCGAGCTTAGCTCTGGAATGTAGCCCTGGAGCGGTCTCCGACAACACCCAGGCTCCAAGTGCCAAAGATCGCCACCATGATTGAATCGGATTACATGTTCCCAGGATGTAAATCAAATATCTTGGTACAAAGGCTACCACCCACTTTGAAAAGCTACCTATTAGCTTGCAAGACGTCGAATTAATGAAACGGACTGCAACTTCATTGCGTGCTACTTTGGGCTGCTACCAAGATTCTCACTTGGCAGCCAAACCACGTGCCAGAAACAGTCAAGATTGAAGCTGCATTTTTCCTTCGTCGAAAATTCGGTGAATAAAGTGGTGAGTAAATTAAAAAATAAGGAATAAGGTATATGGTGGTGAAGAAGGTGGTGAGTGAAATAAAACAATAAATAAATACCTTCAAATGTAGGTGGTTATGTCTTATGGTGTACATCATCACCCCTTCTGATTGTAGCCGCCACTGCCAAAAGCGTTGCGAACTTTCTTGTCCAAAGCATTTCGAATTGACCTGGCAAAAAAATCTATTGCGTGAAGGATAAAATTGTATTAATGCATCAGAGGCTATGAAATTTTTGTCCTCAGCCCTTGAACTCGGTCATTTATGGCCTGCGTAAAATTACACGGCAGACTCGCGAACCTTCGTTTTTAAGCCGGGACAGCGAAGTCACTAGTGGTATATCCACGTACAGTACTCGCGTCAGCGCGGACAGACTGCGATTTCCGGCGTGTTCAGTATTCAGAGGAACTGCGGCAATTCAGACATGAATGCATGTTTGATCTGCTGGTATGGTTTTAACGGTGTCATCGATATTACATGGTTTGTAGACGTTCAAAGCATGCTGATGCTCCGGTTGTCGCTAGTATCGACTGGGTAGCATCAATTTGAAAAGCCTCACTGGTTGGTATGCGGAATGCGAGAGCCTACGCTATCAGAAGTGAAACTATTTCAACTCTGGCAAGCAAGTCATACTTTAATGAAGAGAACAGGATTCGCGCGTAGTAAGTCTCGTATCAAACATTAAATTTCAGCAAACGTGCGTTAGTTTATAGTTGAAACTATTTTAACTGATTTACTTGCTAATTGAAAATGGATAAGCAACATCCTTGACTCATACAGTTTGGCACAGAATGTGCTATTTAATTTCCCTTTCCCAGCGCAGCTGCTATATTTTGTTTGAAAATTTTCGTAAAATGAAAAAAAAAACACAATTCTCACCACCTAACCTAAAAACGGCATCACCAGAATTAAACGTCTTCATATCGTCACGCGTTCTAAAATCGCCCGACAAAAAAATTTTTAAGGGCAACGCCTCCTTGCACTGGCAGCCCTCCTACCCTTCGTCATGCTGATATATCAAAATATTTATCGCATTTGTACGGGTTTGAATGCTACGTTATAATTGTTGCTCAGATGGAAGAGACGTTGATGCACCTATTGTTACCGTCGGTGCAAATCTTACGGTCAATAAATGTTTTATTTCGCTTGGATTTGTAGTTTCATTCAAAAAGAAGAGAACCATTTAATTCGTTGTTATTTTAAGTAACCAATCTCGGTTATTTTAAGTAACTTATATTTTTATATTTTTTTTGGCTGTCACTGAGAGCATGGTATTTATTGCTAGCTACTGATATATGAATGCTTCTCAGTGTAATATATAAACTCGTCAAATTCTTTGAGTTCAATCTCCGTAGATATTGAAACTCGGAAATACTTTTCGAACTCATGAACTTTTAAGTTATCCAACTCATTTAATATATCATTACAATGAATTGCATGCTGATTTTCTTCCCTAAAAGGGTAAAGTGCAGGAAATTCAGATCTACTTGTGATATTAAAATAGAATGAGCGTGAGAATGGTGGCAAAAAAATATTGTTGGTTGCTTTCATTCAACGCGCAGACGTTTAATTTCCAGCGAAAGTTTGCATCAAAAGATTTTAGTTTCTTACTGACGATTTTCAACGTTCACCAATCGAAATTGAAATTTTGATATTGGACACATATGGGAATTCTGTTGTTAGCTCGCCTTGGTTTCTTGACGCATAAAGGTATAATAATCAATTCCACTTTCCACAAATAAACACTAGGAGTAGCATGCATATTCCTCATTTTCTAAATGGTAGCATTTATAATGCGTTTCTATTTACCTCTTCAAATGTGTAAGCTATTGCAAAATATTGTTATTATTTTGATAAACATTAAGCAACTCATGAGGCATTATGCAGCTTTTTTCAGATGAATATACTATTTAATTTATTCTAATTAGGCCTGTCACCTCGACATATTACGTACATCTTCGAAGATTGCAATTGATACTATAACTTCGTAATTTATCTTCAGAAGATGACTTAAATTATCAGACGGCTGTAATCCAAATCTCTTCTCGTGAATGTAATCGAATTTAAATATCCTGCTATTTTTAAATCAAACAAAATATCGATAAGAGGAAAGTTAAATGAAGGTAAATGCTTTCCCTTTACTTATCCCAGACACTTTCATGTACTATGATTATATCTTTCCATTTCCTTTCCAAACACAGCGTAATAATTTAAAATCCTCAAATTCGAAGGTCACACCGGTTTTTCAGCCTTTAAACCTTGGGAGGAGGCGGAGGAGGATTCGTGTAGACGCAGTTGCCGCCTTGCGGCGTGACCTGCAGGACGGACGTGTCGATGTTGTTAGAGTCGAAGGCGTCCAGCGCCGCAGCCTGTAGGAGGGATTTATGTCAACGAAGTTGTGGCGGTTATTGAACGTTGCAGCTTCTGAAGTTTCCATTTTCAACAAAGTTTCAGTGTTTGTTGACCGCAACAACTTCTGAAGTTTCTATTTTCAACAAAGTTGTTGCGGTCATTGATTGCTTACACGCCTTAAGTCTCTGTTTTAAACAAAGTTTTGATGGTTGTTAATTGAAATATGACATTCAAATATGACAATCAACGACATTCTTGATGAGAAGTTTATAGGTCATAACTTTTTTATGAACAGAATTTAGTTAATATGTTATGTAAAGAGCCATTTTCAACTTTGCAACTAAAATACCTTAATCGCATTAGATTAGGTGCTGAATTCAAGAACTTTTGCAATTAGTGGCATGATATACGGTAAAATAAAAATGTAATAATTGTTCAAATGCTGACATATTCAATCTAACTACTGTGAAATATTTGTTCATTTATAAAAATAATTCTACTGATACCTCAGATTTATTTAGTTACCCATTATAACTTTGTACTCACGAGTGCGTCGGGGTCGAGCTCCTCAGTGCGGGACAGCACCCACGCGAACTGCTCGCGGTAGTCTTCTCCCTGCGCCAGATTTGCTCATTTTGGGATGCAATGTATCATGAAATCACAAGAATGTGCTGAGCGTAATTCAGTCTATAATGTATTTCCGAAGAAGAATATTTCATCTAAAATCTAAATGAAGTCAAGTAGTTTGATAATCATGAGTACTAATGATGAAAGAACTACTAATGCGATGAATATGTTTTTGTAGTCCCCTGCTATAGTTGTCATCCGAGGAATATTTAATAGTCAAAATGAAATTTCGTTTAGTTTATAAACAATTTTTACTATATAACATGAATGGGTATAAACTGATCTACCTCCAAACATTGTTCTACAGGTCTGATACTTAAGACTGGTTATAAATGTCCAACTTTTATTCCGCAGGCTGTGGCGCGATATTGGGATTCGTCATTCCCCTATAAAGTTTTAACTCTTTTTCAAGCCAGCCCAAAACGCGTCGTCTATCCTCCAAGTCATTTGTTTTATGGCCGCTCCTCCTTCGCTTTCGATTAATAAATTTTTTACAGCCAACTAACGGTCAATTTGATTATTTATTCATGATCATAAATGGGTTATTTAGAGTGCCCATGTTTGTATGCACTGAACTATCTCAGAGCAGGGTAAAAATTACACACTCTTTGTAGAGGTGCCCGAATCGCCGCCATTGCTTCTTTTGAAATATATTTTCCAAATTGTTAGAAATGTGTAATTTGTAAAAAGTCGTCAAAAGGGTTTTAATCACGATACCATTACTGGTTTACATAGTGACTCATCAATTGGGCGGGAATAGACATTAATTAATTGCTGTAGAGACTACACTGGCCTCCACGCCTGTTTGAATGCTGCTGTGTTGACTACACTGACCTCCGCAAAACTCGAAATGCTGCTGTGTAGACTACACTGACCTCCCCACAGCTTAAAATGCTGCTGTTGAGACTACACTGACCTCCGCACAGCTTAAAATGCTGCTGTGTAGACTACACTGGCCTCCCCACAGCTTAAAATGCTGCTGTTGAGACTACACTGACCTCCCCACAGCTGTAGACGGAGCTGTAGGTAGTGTAGTCGGTGGCCAGGACGTTGTAGACGATGGTAGGCTCGCCTGGGAACCCTACAATGGTTCGTCAGCGGTCAGGGCGTTCCCGTGCTGCCGTTGGATTGATCCGTCTTGGAGGTTAGCAGTGTTCGTGATGGTGAATCTCGTGTCGTCTGAAAATTTCATTTTTCTTGTATATAGTGTATGAACAAGGTCAAGTATCTATATATATGAAAAAATCATCAGAAATAAGTTACTATTACTGATGAATCGTTTGAGGTACGTTGCAATCATGATCATCGTATCGCATGCAGATTTTTAATAATATGATGTTCAAGTGATTTATCGAAAGAAAAATGAAGCTATTATCCTGGAAGCGAGTATGAAGTGCGAAGTAGATCATTAATGACATTAATTGCATATGCCGAGCCATAATCTGTTTAATATTTTTGAAAATAAATAACACGTAATAATGAAAGGCATAACGGATGTATGTAAAATAATAAGAACGACGAATTTATCAATCGCTTTAATTCATTACTTAACTTTGATAAATCTGCTGCTAATAGCGGTCAAAAAATTTTAAATGTAGAGACAATATGTGAATATTTCTGTAAATAATGTTTTCACAAACGGAGATTGAACTTTGAGACACACATGTATTTTTTCGATTTTACATGTTTGCATTTATATTTTTCACTTAATATTAAATTATCCATTCAGATTAACCGAATTCTTCTTCAGAGATTCCATTGGTTGCTCCCAAGTGCACTTGATTTTAACCACAACGTGATTCTTTTTTCCCTGCAGTACAGTTTTTCATAGAGATTAAATTTAGAGAGATTTCCTTAATAACTTTGATAAAACTGCCTTATTATAATGATACTGCTTTATACCCTAAATATTGCTTGAAAGAATATTGATGCGAAGAAATATTATTATTCTTACGTGATTTCCAAACTCTTTCCGTTAGTTCAGATGTGTCTTACATAGCTTTGAACGCTACAATACAGCCCGTGCGTATAAGCCATATGTGGCTTGCATAGGTCGATGATGCAATTGATTGGTACAAGTTGAGTAATAGTCATGGAAAATTTGCCTTACCTGGAACAACGTTCGTTGAATATGAATCAGAATCAGATGGCTTATTGAATATTTTATGCCGCCACCCTCATTGTACAAAATAAATGGTAGACTCACTGACAAGTGCGTAATCTGCCGTAACGCAGGTTCTTCCCATTTCGACTCCATCAGGGTATCGGTGAGTCTCGAACCATCGACCCATGTACTGAAATTTGCGTGTTTTATATTTAAAAACTGAGATTTACTGAATTGAAAAAGATTCAAATTTAGTTAAACTTTCATGTGAATTGGGATACATTTTCGATCAAACGTCGATATGATAAAGAAATCTTGAAAGTTTCAGTTTCTTGTTGTCTACCTCAAAGCCGGTCCATAATTGAAGCTTTTAAAGATGAGGAATGGGATTAATATTCCAAAAATGCTGCAGAAAAAATATATGCGACGAAAGTGAGTTGAGGCCCTCCAAATAACAAATCCAGTTAGACCTTACTTCAGAAAACATGACTAGGGTATCACGAAACTGGCATATTGAGTATAAATGTACAATTGTCGGAAAACAATTACGCTTCGACGAAAAACGCTTTGTTAAAAAAACCATACTTTTCAATAACATTACATGTAACGAGATAATGATGACCATGAAATTTGACACGGAGCTTGATTATTCTAACCAGATTTCCATTCAGCAGCTAGTCTGTTGTCACCTCTCAACAAAATTTTTCAGAAGACCTGCAGGCATTTCAATGCAACTTGGATACTTGTCCACGAGTTGGCAGTAGGAAGATATTTGCAAAAATAACTTAAAAAATTAGAAAAGTTTTTACTTTTTGGATTTCTTGCTTGTGACATTCATGCATGCGATCATCTTTTTGCACGTTTGGTGCTTTTTCGGAATTAGTTGAAATGATATTTCTGATAAGTTTTGTTCTAGATGGACTTTCGTAATATTGGATTGATAAGCTGGATTTCAAACTATAAATGCTCTGCTGTGTAATTTTCGTTTATATCATCAATAGACTCACAGAAGGAAGGTCGAACTCGTCGACGTTTTTGATTGAAGGACAATTGCCCTGGTCGAGGTAAGCGTTCGTCAGACCAGCCACGGCCAGCAGGAGTACAGCGGAGAACCTGCGTCAAAGATAATAAAATTGTGTATAAAATATCATGGGTATCACATCATTAGAGCAAACAAATTGACATTGAAAAAATATCACATCGTAATTCCAACATAATTTTGTATAAAATATGAAAATGCTCAGCATTATAGCAACAAAATTAAGTGTACAATAAATTAGTCATCACGTCATCAGGGTTGTTGAGAAAAGCAACACTTAGTTCGCCGATGCGATTAATTTGTAGCTGGTGCTAATTAGCATCAAATTTATTTCTTGGAGTTACGTCGTAATTATTTATAGAGGTGGGCAGCAGCGCGCCACATTATTTTTGAGATTGATAGATTAGAGTAGACATCCATGTAGGGAAGGTAAAACATGAAAATAAATTTAACTTTTATTTACTGTATCTAACCCGTACTAGTTCTGTTAGGTTAATTGCAATAAAGTGGCATAGATATGTTTAGAAAATGTTTTATTATCATTCAATGTTTATGAGTAAATCCCAAAAGCAGAACAATAAATATTTAGAGATTTCCAATAATTTGGGCCATTGTAGCGGCTAATGTAGCGGCGCTACATTTTACTGTAGCGGTAGCGGTAGCGCTCGCTACAATCTAGTGGGTGTAGCGGTAGCGGTAGCGCCCGCTACATTTAGAGCATGTAGCGGTAGCGGCCGCTCCATTTCAAAGTAGCGCTGCCCAGCTCTGATTATTGATATTAACAGTAACATGAAGCACTTTCTTCTACGAATATTCGTGGCGTCCACTAAAACTCATAATAAAATGTGAAGACGTGGAAAATTGTCGTAATAAAGTTGTAAATGTATATTAACCTAACTCGATTGCTCGATTGATGCCTTTCATAGGTGTTATATCTTTTTAGTTTGCATAAGCAGTTCATGCTAGAAAAGTTAGAAAGAAAAATGTCTTGGAATTATCTCAATATTGTATTACGGTAAATAATTTTTTGTTTTATTAAAACTAATTCTACTTTTTGTGATGATCGCGAAATGTGTATAAATATTCAATGCCTTGCTCACCCGTTCATGCTTGCGATGAAGTCAGACGATGTTGGACGATAACTGCGATTTAGACGTGACCGCGCACTCCTTATATCGTTTGCACCGTCGGCCACGTGGTGCACCGCCGGCCAAATGACGTCAGTTCCAGGCCGCGGGAATGAAGGCAAAGTCCGTCTGACGTCACGGCAGCAGCATTAACTTTTTGAAGTACTTTCCAGAACCCATGTGCTCATCTTTATTAATCAGCACAAATCTATTAGGTTCTTTATACATTTTACTACACAGTTTTCGAAACTCTGCAAAGGGCATATGCAAGAAATGTAGTCACTGTGAATATTCTTCATATCAATGAAATGTAACTCGAATAGAATTAATAGACTTGATTTCGTTCTGATGGATTGTATTGGTAATATGTGATAGTTTTGGATAAATAAATTGAATCGGTAGCAATATCATCAAAAATGTACAAATTTTTCTTTTCGTGATCTATGCCACTTCGATCAGGTACCGAAGCAGTATTCTCTGAGTATTCGATTGCACATTTTTATTGACGTCTTATAGGGGAATTTTCAAGATATTCGTCAATATTTTCATTGCCGTTCGAAAATAAATCAATGATTTCAGATTTAGGAAATCCCTTATCGAAAGCATTTTTAAACAACTTCTATTCAGGCTGATGAGTTGACTTACTATGCAGGAGAAGATTGTTGAAATCAATAAAATTCTCTGTAAGCAACTTCCGTAGTAGTGAAGTTTTTCCGCGGTTCGATTTCTTAATTATGAGACACCTCAAACTTTGAGAAGGAAATACAAACTGATTCTTCAGTTTGTTTTTATTATCGTATTTCCGCTTCTAGAGCATTTTTCAAAGTCGTATTTCTAAAATCTTTTTCAATGATTGATCTAATATGTTCGCTTGAATTATAACCTTATTTATTTTGGTGGAGAGATGGTGTAAATCATCGCAGATATTATCAACAACAATCTGCAACTGATTAATATTTCCTTAATTGAACATCACCTCTCTTTGGACATCTGTTATTGCCTCTTCTATTTTTTTAGGGACTTTCATCAAGTTTTTTTTCTGCTCACAGGCTGCCTCGCATGACAATGGCGTGTAAATGAACAACCCTCTATCAACTTTAATTAATATACTTCCGTCATAAATCTGTATTTTCGAATATTTTTTAAGGGATCTTCAAACTTGACTAGATGAAATTAGTTTTCTAAACCAAACCGTAAATGCACTAAGTAGAGTTAATTGTAAATATTTTGTGTATCAATTATTTTATATGGTGCATAAGCTTTCATTTTATAAACCGACATTATAAAAGGTGTCGATCAGTTTTTGTGGAAGAGATTGGAATGGAATTCAACACCATTAAAAAAAAGATATATTAGAGAGGGCATCATGAAGCATATCAATCTTCTCGAGAAAGAATTGCCTGCAGTAAAATCAATAGTGGAAACTATTGATGGAGAAGTAACTCAGTAACTGAAAGAATTAGAAAATCTTACCACAAAAATAAACTCAGGAAGTGACTGAAGTAAAATCGAAATTGCAAAAACAAAAGAATAATTTGATATCCTTCGACAGAAAAGTATCATCAATAGAGGGAATTCAGGTTGAATTAAAAGTATATATTGATGTTGTTTAAGGAAATATAGCCTCGAATATGAACGAATTAGCAGAAGTATAAAGGATTCTAGATAAACGATTCAGAAAAATTAAAAATACAGTGAATAGTGAACCTCAACAGTGATTTTCAGCTATATAAGAAACATTTCAACCAAGTTTATAAATTCATCTAGCTAATGTATTTTTAATCTTGGTTTAAAATTTAACTTCATGAAGTTTTTTATAAACATTTCATCGTTCGTAGTCTGTAATAAAACTCCTTTTAAAACTCTTGTCAATGGGAAAGGGTAATAAAATATTGAAATTTTGTGGAATAGTCAAAGCCATGTCGTTAACGGATACTTCCCTTCACCGCTGTGGCCGGCAGTACTATAAAGCTTTCGCCGATGGCTGTATGTGGCAGCGTTGGCGCTTTAATTCGTCGCTGTTACTGGCAACTCGGACAAAATCACTGCCGTTTCACCGAAATCTAGTGTTTAATCACTGGAGAGCTCAAATTAGGTTTCCTTAGGGTCCACAATTGTGACGAAATTTTTCTTGTAAAAGAATTTTTCTGACATAGCAAATTTATTGATGAATAAACCAATTATGAGCTTTCTCATCTCACTCAAGTCCACTCGCGCGCTAAATTGGGGTGAATTTAAAAAAGATTTGTTATCAATTTATTCATGCTGACCTGTTCATGGAGCGATAAAGCGATAATTTTCCGGTCCAGCGCATGTGATTCGAGTAGGAAATTTTGAAACTAATTTGATCAGTTATAATAGTTTAGAGTTTTGATTCGATTCGTCCACATAAGTGTTCTTTGTTATATTTTACGCAAGAGAGTTGGAGAAAAAAGCCAAATCTTATTTGATCTTTCAATAGTGCCTTCTACTGCGGTTTCATTGCACTCCTTACAGCAAATAAAAATTGAAATTTGCACCATAATAATCGCCCAAGGGATAGGGTAATCCAATCCATTCATCATCATTATTGTCAAACATATCATTGTTGAATTACTGGGCAAGTGTGTTCCTGCATTTACTCTTACCTACATTTTTGCGGGTAAGCTTTGTTAAAGACCAGAGAATTAGTTTTATTTATTAGCTTCTTGTTAGTTTTTTCAATATGTCGTACTAAATTCTTCGTAGGTGTTGGAAGATTGAAAATTAAATTACCGATAGACATTTTTAATATTGAATGACGTTTCGAATGTACAACATTCATTGTCAAGTTAAAGACGCATAGAGTAACAAAATTTGGGTTGACATATGAACGAAATCAAGTAAATTGGATACCATTCGAATAATGCTAAAATTTCGTTAATGTGATACTACAGGAAGATTTTACAAGCGCAAAAAACTACTCGGAAAACAATCTCAAAGTTCTGACGAAGCCGGTGGTTTGAAGGTTGAATGTTTGTCGGTACCGGGTTTGCCGTTGTCAGGTATGCCGGTGCCGGGTTATCCGCGTTCAAATTTGCTAGTGCTAATTTTGCAGGTACCATTTCGTCGGTGCCGTGTATGCCGATGCCGATTTTTTGGGCACTGGGTTTGCCGGTGTGATGGGTTGCCGGCACTTGTATGATGTGGAATGTGGTCTGCGAATTCAGCACTAAAATTTGTCCCTTGAATGTAGCCCATGATAGAAGACTACGAATGTAGCCCACGTACGTGACCTCTGAGGGAAGCCCTCTCCCTCGTTACACAGGCATCTGCTGCGCCCTCCTTTAAATTTGACCTCAAGTCATACAGTAGGTGCTAATAGTTGGTTAATAATGGTTTTTTTTGCGTCAATATCTAAGCACCCATCATGACGGACTCTCGATGCTGCTTTTATAAAACATACTAATCATAACGGAAAAAATTGACTGCACCTTCAAGTCCGAAAATTTGCTTTTCCGAATGCCTCTTAAGAGTCCGAATGGCATTTGATCGCGTGATTCGTAGAGAGAGAAATTGCCTCTTCTCAATGGCGTGTATAGTGTCCTCAGGCAAGACTATTGCCGACGAAAGTGAATATTGCTGACCATGAATGAATATTGTTTGCTGTGAATGAATATTGCAATAATTGAATTATTCGCAGCAGGCTTCTTACTGTCATGTGATCAAGTTACTACTATCTTTTGATCAATCCTATCTCTCCTTTCATCCTTTTAGTTTATTTATTTTTACTAAACGGAAAGGTGACCTTTGTTTTGTTTTTCCAATTTTAATTTTGGTGCCGTTTAGGGATAGAATAGGCTCACCACACTCAGCAACAGGAAGTGAGTCAGATGTGAATTTGCAAGATACTTTGCAACCTTTTTCGATACTCATAAGTTCGCCGGACTGAACATGCATAGTGAGCAAATGAGCAGCTGATCAGGGGCCACTTTCAAAACTGGCTAAGTGAACCTAAGTACTTACGCTCTATTTTCTTAACTATAATTAGTGGATTTTGCTTGAAAGGCCGTCAATGATTGCTGATGAATCTACGACCACTTAACCTTTTTTGAAGGTACAGGCACAGGTTTCTCAACCTCGGATATGCGGATATTTTTGCTCTGATGCTGGCCGGGGAAGGGAGGCATTTCCATCTTATCCATATTTCTTCTATTTCGAGCATCCTATAAACATTTAACGTTCAATATCTGGTGTCGATGTGTGTGCCGGCGGACCATTACATTATACGATGGGATGCAATGAGATTTATCTTTCCCAATTTGTTGAGTTCATGTGGTGATTGGTTGCCTACTCCAAGGACCAAATAGTCATATAATAGTGTATATACGTAAGATTTTCATTATTTCTTATTTTGTTTTATTTAATATTCAGATGCCATTTTTGGGCATGGAAAAATGGCTAATGGTTATATGAAGACAGAAATACTTCCTGGGGAGGTGAAGATTACGATTCTGGTTGATGAACATGCGCCATGAAATAATTTTAATCCTTGGAATAGAAATCTTGTAAGATGTCAACTATCAGTGGCTTCAATCGATGCACATTCGATTTTCCATGCAGGGTCTAGAAATTAGTATTTAATTGTCAGGTAACTATTATATTACATTGGTGCAACCTGATTATGTGATGAAACCTTCAGTTAACATGGAATGCCAGTGATTAGAGGCATTGTGATATTTAGTTTAAGGCAGGCAATTATATAAAAAACGTTTGAAAATTTATTGATTAAAAATGCGACAGAAACACTTGTATTAAAAATTAAAATATTCAAGGTATCGATCAGTTCGACACAAATGAAGACAATTTTCTATCACTGATTATTACATTTTCCAGTTTTCGGAAAAATCGCGATGATTAATTAAATGATGCCTCATTGACCAACAGTTAGTATTTTTACCTGAAACATTTCTCCTGAGAATTTGATGAATGCTACTGGCACTATTTTAACCATGTACGACAGCCATACATTCAGCCTAACAAAAAAATGCAGGTAGACTTTCCTAAGTAAATTGCATTCATTTCGAATCCTGAATTTCCGTGACAATGTTCCCGATTTTTGCTGCATTAAGGGGCAGGAGTGTAGATGCAGTCTCCCCCTTGCGGCGTAGGCTGCAACACGGCCGTGTCGATGCCGTTCGACTCGAACACGTCAAGCACCACCGCCTGCGTGAAAATCCACGTTGAAATTCCCGAAATTTAGAACTTTCTGGGGTCATACTTTCAAAAAAAGTTCAATCAATCAAAATTCAATCATTCAATCCATACTTTCAAAAAAATCAATCATTGGCGGCCTTTCAAGCAAAATCCACCAATCATAGACAAGAAAATAGAGCATTGACTTAGCGAGTTTTGAAAGTATGGTTCCCAGGATGTTTGTGTCCATCATTTACTACCTGGGTTCATGAAGAATCTCATTCAAAACATAAATAATTTTTTTACTTGAAATTTCCGTGAATGTGAATTGCATAGGATAAATCTGGCGTCAATCTCCCGGAGACTGATTAATTTAAATAAAGAGTATGTTGTCAAGCACGTATTAACTTAACATGAGCGATGAAGTATACGATTATGTATTCCCGAGATTTATGTGAAGTTTGAACAGCATTATAAATTGTTTAACGAATTTCAACACGGCAAGCAGCGTTTTTTTCAAATAAAGGTGAATTTGAGTTCAGATCGATCGGGTTGGAAACCCATTTCAACGATTGAAAATTTTGCCGTATTAATGATTATTTTGAACTTGGCATCCAACGATAGAGAAATGAATATACTGAAAATTATAATAGCAGTAAATCAAAATAACCTTGGATGCCCTTATCACAATAGTCATGTTTTTTTGGATGTTATCAAACAAGTAGTCATTTTTGGTTGCTTCAATGAGTCCCTCAACTTTATTACTGGATACGCGCCCCAACAGCCCCTATAACAATACCCCGACACGATAAGTATCCTGGATACGCGCCCCAACAGCCCCTATATACAATATCCCGACACGATAAGTATCCTGGATACGCGCCCCAACAGCCCCTATATACAATATCCCGACACGATAAGTATCCTGAATACGTGCCCCACAACAGCCCCTATATACAATACCCCGACACGATAAGTATCCTTGATACGCGCTCCAAAAACTCCTATTGCGGTACCAGACTTCAATCACACTAAATTAAGCATATATTCAGAAGATTTATTTCGTAACGACTCTGTATGTTTTCACTCACGAGTGTGGCGTCATCCAGTTCCCAGGTGCGGGATATCACCCACGCGTACTGGTCACGTAAGTCCCCAATCTGCATTGGAATAAATCAACATCAGGACAATAAATCTCACACTATTGAGTTCTCGCTCCCAAAAATCAGTGATTTATCAGGAAAACAAGTTTTTAACTGCGATCGCCATGATGTAGTATTTTTTATCTCGTATGTTGTGCCATCGAATGTATAATCAATTTAATCCAGGAATTTACCGGTTCAGGTTAACGCAATCATTAGGTAGGAATCTATTTGGTATCCTAGACTGGAATATACCGTGAATCAAACATGATAAGTCACAATGGGAATGTTAATTTTTTTCTCCTTGTGATAAAGTTGCACTCGTTAGGATAAATTTGTGCAATCCCTGCAATCACCACGAGAAGCAAAATGTAACGGTCAATTACTTGTCCTTAATTGCTCAATTCGGACAGTGAAAACGTTATAATCTTATATGATGCCCATGCTGCTTACAGACCAGGCTTGCAAGCTCCAATTACTGAAAATCTTCGTTGTGTAAATATTTTTTTTTGTGTTTTCAATATAACATCGATCGAGCAAGCTTGAGAGCATATAAGCTAGACACGCGGAAGTTGCATTAACAGCCTATTTTTCTGCCCTCAAGTGGGTCATACTGACCCAGTTTAATCAGGCATGATGTCATTCGTAGCTTGTAGGTTTATATTTTTTTCAAAAGTAACAACTCAGACGGGGAACCGGGGCTCGGGGAACATCAACAACAACAACAACTCAGATGGATCCTGTCAAGCCACTGACACTCGTTTCGACGATGAGTTTTGTAGATGCTACTTCATCCATTACATCATCCGGTGGAATAATATCGTTGATTATAAAGAGACAACTTTTATCACTTAATCGCGATGTTCGTTAATGGCAATTTATCGCGATGTCCGTTTAATTCAATATATGGCTATGTCCGCTTAAACTTTTAACGACCAGGTGTACCGTATGGTCGTCTTTCAAACATGCTCTGTAATATTATTGTGATGATAGGAATTGGCGCTAGTTGCTTTGAAAGTATTTGGTAAGCGTCCCTGCTTTGTTTCGGTGGTGCAACTCTACTCTTTGCCGCCAACTACACAGTACAGCGCTGATCTTGTTGGGAATCCGTGGTGACATTCACTTGTTGAACTTTTTCAATCTTTATTGGACTATGGTGGGAAAGTCAGATAAGTTACAGCATTGAAATGGTTCTTCATTGTTTCTAGTACAATGGTGAGTGCACATGCAAAATTTGAACATAAAATAAAATTAAAAGCATATTTCACACTGTATTTCTAAAGGCGATCGTTCAGTACAGTCGGAATTACACTGCATTGTTTGAAACGCGACCGTTGAGTCACGTTGGTCTTACGACCAAGCAAGTAGAGAATTACGATATAAAATAATGGTTTTCATTACTATTCTATAATTTAGCGCCTTTCTACAATATAGCATAAAATTTTTTATTCTCCAAGAAAACGTCCCAGTTTATGTGAACAGCATCTTGCTACTTTATTCTCAAGTGAATCTAAAGAAGACTCTGTGTATGAAGAGGACATATTGTATGCGATATTGGTTTCACCAAAAAACCTGAAACCAGTTCTGTTGGCAAATTTGAAGAAGAAAATGAATCAATCATGATTGAAATTAACAGCATGGAAGTTGAGAACCTGGCCTCTCAACCCGGATTCTGGCCTCTCAACCTGGACCCTGGCCTCTCAACCTGGACCCTGGCCTCTCAATCTCCACCCTGGCTTCTCAACCTGGACTTTGGTCTCTCAGCCTCCACCCTGGCCTCTTAACCTGGACCCATGGTCTCTCAGTTTGAACCCTGGCCCCTCAACCTAGGCCCTTGCTTCCCGACCTGAACATTGGTCTCTCAGCCTCCACCCTAGCCCCTCAAAATGGACCTCGCCTGTCAGCCTGGACCCTCATCTCTATACCTGGACTCGGGCCTCTCAGCCTTAACCTTGGCCTCTTAACCTGGACTCTGAACCCTCCGCCTGGACATTGGCCTTACAACCTTGGCCCTGGCGTTTTTGGCCCAACATCCTTGATGTTTTTCCAACATCAAGGATGTTGAAAAAACAGGAATTATTATTTCTTGCCAGTTTCTCGGACTTCTTATTGTTGCTAGCAAAAGGAATTTATAAAATGATAATTAACTATGCCAGCTGCATAATATCATCTATATTTTGTGCTCAAAAGAATAAATGGATCATATGGTCCCGTTTAATGTTGGAGTCTCGTAAGACCAAGTGGACTGAAATGTCGCCGTACATTTTTTTCAATATACAATTTTCCATACTCATCTATACACTACTTGGTGACCGTAATCACTAAAAATAACAAAAAAATTTCATGTGATTTAAAAAATGTGGTCTTAAAAAGGTTAATTCAATTTATCGCGATGTCCATGTACGGATCGTTGATCTATCAACTTCTGTACCTTTATGAATACTACGAATACACGGACCTGTTCGCAGCTGTAGAAGCAGCTGCTGACGCTACACGAACTTAATTTGTTCGCAGTTGTAGCTGCAGCTGCTGACGCTAAACTGACCTGAGCGCAGGTGTAGACGCAGCTGCTGACGCTACACTGACCTACGCTCAGCTGTAGAAGCAGCTACTGACGCTACAATGACTTAATTTGTTCGCAGTTGTAGACGCAGCTGCAGACGCTAAACTGACCTGGGCGCAGGTGTAGACGCAGCTGTAGGTCTCGTAGTCAGTGGCCAGGACGTTGTAGAAGCCGACAGACTCCCCAGGGAACTGGACGATGAGCTGACCGGGGACGTCCGTGGCGGTGCCCGTGCCGCTGATGACGTACAGGGACCCGTCGGCGAGGTTGGCGGTGTTCACGACAGAGACTGTCGTGTCGTCTGCAATTTTTTCCAATATTAAAATAAAAATCTGAACTTTACTAACGAAAAATGTTCAAACTGATAGCTATTACAAAAGAAATAATTGCTGCAATTATACTAATTAAGTGATAGCTCAGTAGAGGTTTGCTTTAAAGTAATCCAGTAGCGAAATCTATCAAAATACATTATTGTGATTTTGATCTTACCACCAAGTTTAAGGGCTGAACATATCATCACTTAGAGAAATGGAAAGATTTAGCCCAAATAGCAATGAAATTTTTGAAAATGTGTTAGTCAGCCTGACTCAGTTTGGCTCTACAAAATACATGGAGTCTCCGTATCTCGTGCGAAAAATGTCGCTTTCGGATCATGTGACCAATTCGGATTCATGTGACCATTTCATTGTGACAGATGACGTTTACTCACTGATAGCGCCGTAGTCTGCCGTCTCGCACTTGCTGCCAGTCTCGAAACCGTTCGGGTATCTGTGGGTTTCAAACCAACGGCCCAGGTACTGTAAATTGAAATACCACTTGTAGTTATTGCTTATCAAGATTTGAGAATATTGTTCAAACAATGAATACTCAACATTAGCGTTGGAGCCGATTAAATGAACCGAACTTTCATGGCATTATTTGTGCTTCTACGTTTCATTAAATGTCATTCTTATATATTACATTGCTCATTCTTATACATTGCGTCGCTTCATTCTTATAGATTTGAAAATTACATTCCTTGAATTCTCCGAAGGTTTTCGTATCCTTGTACGTTTGCATTTTTATTAAGTGATTAGATGATGGGGCAGTGCAAATGTAATGTAGCATTTATAAACCGGTTGACACGTTAGTTCAATAAGGAACCACTGAACTTCAGGGGGCTCTCCAGCGTTGCTTCGAACTGCTACTTCGTTACCAATGATATCCAGGAACGAAAACGTTTTCCGTGATGCGAAATTTTTCTTGTGTTTAGTGCGGACTAAGATTTAGGGAATTTGCGAAATCATGGAATTAATTCGGCAACCATGAAACTAATCTGGTCGTCTAATTCAAATTATTGATGAGTAGAAGAAATACTTGTTCCAGATGAAGGCTAACATCTAAGCTCATTAAGAGTTGAGTAAAATCGGGAAATTACTGAAATTTGAGTTAAAATTACGATTCATTAATCGTTTAACATATACATATGTTTGTTGGAATGTGACTGATATTATTGACAAATTATGCACACTTGAATGCTAATAGAATTTCATCAACTGCATTGAAAGCTGGACCAGGTAGAATTAAGACCATATTTAATTTAATTTTGAATTCAAGTTTTACATTGGAGAATATAAGACTCAAATTTAAACGTAGAAGTGAACACCATGTATTCGAAATTAATTCTTAGCAGATCAAATGTGCAGCATGAAAGTTAAGTGTTAAATGACCTTGCCTTTTTTTATTTGAAATGCCATTGGTTGACTTTTTGGTCTTGAAAAGAGAGGTTTGCAAAACAAGAATGACGGAACGGAACACTAGAATGCTTCGAGGATTAGTTTTGAGTTGTGCCTTTAAAATGCTCACCGGAGGAATTTCGAACTCAGCGATGTTCTGGAAGTCTGGACAAACTCCCTGGTCGAGGTAAGCGTTCGTCAGACCGGCCACGGCCAGCAGGAGTACAGCGGAGAACCTGCGCGAGGCACAAGAAAAATGTTCTCGTTTTGGCCACACGTAAAATGTTTTACACGTCGCCATCATATGATAACATGGAATATCTCCGTTGATTATTATGGTCTACTTTGTTTTGAATGCGATGTGGAATATATTTGGCAAAACATTATTCGATAACTTGTTTGTCTATACGGACTTCCCGATAATTCTTGAGCAAATTAAGTGAGTGATTGCTGTCAGTAGGTGTAAATTATCTATGAGGTCCTTTATAAGGGTTTCAATAGGAGTCTATTGGGTATTTTCTGAGGGCTTCATTAGAGGTCTTGATTAGATTTTCTTTGGGGATTTTGTGTTAGTTTTTGTAGATTGATATTTATGGGGTTTGTATCGGGATCAAAATGAGGGCTTCGGTGAGGATCTCTATGTGGGTGTGGAGGCATCTTTGGATCTCTGTAGGTGTCTCTGTAAGGATGGATCTCTGTGACGGTTTTTTCAAGGTTGTCTATGAGGGATTATATGGAATCTTTATGCGGGTCGTTTGAGGTCTGTAAGGCTACGCGGCCGATGGCAGGCAACTTGGACTTGAAGTTGTGCTTAAAAATACGATGGAATGTTCACGGTCGCCTCTTGGCATGAACTAAAGTTTTATCCAATGACAGCAATTAGACAGTATCGACGACTGTTAGTGTGTTTTTCATTTATTATGCTTATATAAAATCCGGCAAGCAGCGAGCGTGAATTGATCTTCTTTTTTCGGGACTGCAAGAGAAATAATCTCTGATTTATGAATTGAAGCTATTATGGATTGCATTGCGCAATCCATAATAGCTGGATTCCCAAATAATTGTAGTTGGCGAACTTCGCTGTTGCTCATAGGTCACTTTCCAGCTCCAAAAAAAGCGGTTCTCATTATGCGTCCTTTTCAACCCAGCAAAAATTTTTTGCCACCGTCATTTTACCGTAAATTACCGTCAATACGTCAACCCGTATTGTTATTCGGCCAAAGCTGACTCTGACCACTCATTAATTATTGTGTAATGTGATTGATCAATTATGTCTCCGCAATGAAGAAAACATGTGTTCTAAAATTATATATGATCTACTATTTTATTCTCCATCCACCTCGGTGATTTTATCGAACTCATTTATCGAACTCTCCTATTTCATTTATCGAACTCTCCTATTTGGTATTCAATTTCAAGTTTATAGGCTGGATTTATTCAATATTCGGCACAAAATATTCAGTACATCGTCCATTGCTTGATGTTTCTATAGGACTTGAGTATTGTGAGATGAACTCTGTCGCAAGTAGTTCAGAAAACGGAGACTTTGATATTGAATATATGTTATGTTATGTTATGTTATGTTATGTTATGTTATGTTATGTTATGTTATGTTATGTTATGTTATGTTATGTTATGTTATGTTAACTTATGTTATGTTATGTTATGTTATGTTGCAAGTTTTCACTTGTCGCAAGGTTCCTGCACGACTCATTTTGATATTCATCGTATAATATATCTATAATAACTCTCACCCGTTCATGTTTGTGATGGAGTCCGTCGTAGGTGGACGATAACTGCGATTTGTCCTTCACGTTGCAATACTTTTAGTGTTGGTGGCAGTGTCAAGTGTTGTGTTCTCACGCTCCAATCAAGGGTCTGTGTTTTATTTTAATTTATATGAATTTACTAATAACGTTTTTCCACATTTGCTTTACTAATCTATTTATATTCTTTGTGAATTTTTCCGGGATATTCACGGACTTCACTAAAAATAGAAAACGAGAACAAAATTTAATAAAAAAACTGAAATTTTTTATAGCATTGATCGGTCTGATTAATTGATTGAAAATCCGATCAAGGATATCTTGATTAGAGTTTCCAAGAATGAAAAATTGTACTCGAAATGAGTATCATGTCAGTCATGCATTAATTGAATAATCAAGGAATGTGTAGATACTCAAGGTTAAATACTCGAATTTAAATATTCTAAGTGATCGGTGGTATAGCACCGTTCGTTCTTCGTTCGTTTATAGCAAAAATTATGCATGCTGAAACATGGAAAAGTCATGCTTCTGTGGCGTTATTTTGATGTAGGAAGTATTTGTGTATGACGTCTGCAGATATAAAAACACTCGAGCTTATGCAATGAACTATTAATAAAAACTATGCAACGTAGTATTGTATTAGTATAAATGTCAGTATACAGCTATTCATTACATTAAAATTAACATGGGTATATATTTAAGTAGTTAATTTTTAATTAAAAAAATTTCGTTTATGAATCATAACTTGTGAAGAAAAGCGTTTTGACGGATATTGAGAGCATGATTGCCTGAATTGCAATGCCACTAATTCGAAAAAAAATATGTAGCTTGTTCGATGAATAGTATTTATTTATCTTTTAACACATTTAGTAGTGTTAAGGCATCCTCATGTCCGCTTTTAATAGTGGGATAAGAGTCATATAATAATTAACAGATTATTCAACAATTGTAAACTATGCTTTTTCTAATCGTGTTCCTCAAAGTCCTGATTAATTTTGCTTAACATCCAACTTCAGTTCTAATACAGCAAATTACCGTCATTTTTTACGAAATTCTTATTTTTTTGACAGATTCTCGAACATACTTACGTCATCATAGTTAAGCCATCTTTACATTACGGTTAGTCTTAGCGCAGAATTAAACTATATAACTATTCATACTCGACGTATACACAGAAACCCAGGTTATCATCCCCTCAAAATTTACGAAACTCTAGAAAATTTTATAGTCTGAAGCTGGCAATTTGATGTTACGTAAGAAGGTGTTTCTATGTTACGTAAGTAGGCGTTATCTTCACTGCCGTTCCTTGGCGCCCTGTAGCACGTATACCATCTCTCAGAATTTCAGCTAAATAAGGTGAAATTTAGCTTAATTAATTAAATTCATTATATTGCATATATATAATGAATTATATTGCATTATATTGCATAAATATGGAATTTCATATGTGAAATTTATTATTTCTTCTTCGATGTTCGAACAGGAAAATTAATTAAATTCATTAAATTTAATTTATTTTGATTATTGAATTTTGTATTTGAAATTTGTTATTTTTCTCCGATGTTCAAATAGGAACAAATGGTTTGTTAATAATCGTAAGTAAAAAATTAGAATGAGGTATATGCAAACCAACTCTTCTTTAAAACTTCCTCAATTCACGCCTTATATCTTGACTAATTTTGCCTCGATGGATAAATTACTGCAGCTAGGGATGCGTTTTACATGGTTTACTACTGTACATACTACGGTGACTAGGGAGGCTACAAAAATTGGATAATTTTTAGGTTAAAAAAATGTTTACTTCTATAATTTTGACTCGCCATTAATTTCCCCGGCATTTTCTTTTTCAATCGCATCTTTATTTTGCGATTTCAGCAAGCTACTTATTATAAGTCTTTAACAATGAATCATTTGATAAAAGCTGACCAATTCATCCACATTTTACAAGCAAATAATATGATGTATATACGTCTGATTTATTTCTTTTCGTGTCATATCTTAGTTGAAAATTTGACGGAGTTACCACTTAATTATATTTTTCTTTGATTCGTTTCTGTCTATGAATTTTCAATTAATATTCTTGCTGTTGCTTCAAGACCGGATAACCAAGCTTAGTCTCCCATTTCATACTGCAACATAATGGTGAACTCTCCGAGTGTTACGTTTAGTACGGGAAAATATTGATTTTTCCAGGTGTCTCTTCCGTTTCGAAAAAAATATTTTTGAACCGTCGGTGTTGACATTATCGATCATAATATTGAGTAACCCACTAACCTATGCTTTGAAATTTACTGTACGAGTTGTCTACTTGAATTTTCAACGCATTATGTTTTTTATTCTCTACCGCATAGGAAACCATTTCACTAAGTCTTCCTTGCTGGAAAAAGGTGAAAATTACGCATGAATTCTTCTTGTATAATAATTCCTTGCTAGCGGAAATTTCTCAATGTTTCTTTTTCTATGTAGCATGAATGTTATCCACATTTATTTAAATGTCGTTACTTAAGAAACAAGAGACGCCTTTTTATGTCTGCCCGGACATTTTTCTCATACAAAATAAGATTAATTTATGCCTCGTTTTGTCATCAGTTGAATGTTAATCATTTGTAATCATCCGCTGTGATGACCTTAAACCAGAGCATTCTATCGGCTTCACAGCAGTATTTTATTGTACGTGATGGAGCTTATCAGTCGTATGACATTGATAAGAGAACAATGAGACTGTCACTATGTAGGTTCTTGGGTTTATCCTTGAAAGTTATCTTTAACATTACAGGTTTTCAAAAAGTATAACTTCACACAATTTTTCCCCTCTGTTAGACTTGTGTTTGGCAGGATTTGTTTGGACGCACATTAGCGATCATGTGAAAGATTTGCAATCCCGATGAAATTATTTGAAATCCTTCACGCGATTTTAAATTATTTGAAATCCTCCATGCGACTTAAATAATTTTGAAATCCTTCACGCGACTTGATATTACTTGAAATCCTTCACGCGACTTGATATTACTTGAAATCCTTCACGCGATTTGAAATTATTTGAAATCCTTCACGCGACTTGAAATTACTTGAAATCCTTCACAGTCGCCTTAGGAAATTTGGTCGTACACTATACCGGCTTGCGGTGAATACAGTCGCTAGAGTCGTTGCAACTTTTAATCCTTCTAATCAACTAAACTCAATTGTCTTTCACTTCAAGCGAACAATTAAATTGAAAGATAATTCGAAAGTTAAAGAGAAGGAGCGGCTTCTTTTTTCTGCCGCTCCTTTTCCTTTCCAAAGTCCTTTGCCGCTTTTTCTTTCAAATGAGACTTTGATATCAGAAACATTGATTCTGATCATGATGTGTACAAATAAGTGCATTGAACTTTCTCCCTTGGTTTAGGTATCCTTTATAATTAAATTTCATTAATGATTGTTTGTGGTTGAAAGGAGCTTCTTCAAATGATGATGCCATCTTGTCTGAACAGCTGGAACATTTCTTGAAAGCATGAAAGTTATGATTAAAATTTACATTTTCTCTAGAGAATCAACTCAACAATCTGCGCTAATTCTCGAAAATTAAACATAAATGTCAAATAGCTCTGTTCTATTTCTAAACTTTTTCACATCATAGCATAAATTAAAAAAGTTGCTCGATTATAAAATCCTTTCAAAGACATTATTTGGGCATGTGTCCTCATTACAATCGTAATCGTATAACGAATTACCCATAAATATTTTTCTCATTTATTTTCGCAACACCCCAATGGCTTCCCTCGAGATTACCCCGATTCACCGCCTTCAATTCCACCACTGATTAAGTGCCATTCATTCGGTCCCATAATTGAGACGATTTTTTCCCAGACCGAGTCCAATCTGAGCTCAATCAATTTAAGTTGTGTTAGTGGACTTGATGGACTTGTTTAGCGTTGATGAGAACTTTGTTCTAGTTTGTACTTGTGATTTGACCGAAACTGGTGTGTATTTCCGATGCGAGTAGTTTTTTATGCACTAATTAATCCATTTAAATTGTGTTAGTGGACTTGATGGACTTGTTTAGCGTTGATTACACCTTTATTTTAGTTTGTACATGAGATTTGGCCGACCCTGCTGTGTATTTCCGATGCTAGTAGTTTTTTATGCACTAATTACCTTTCAAAGCCAGATTGAGAATTGATTGAATGTTTTCAGCAGCACCTGCTCCTTTCGAATTAAAGTAAACTTTGTTGTGGCTTTTTACGCGTACCTTAGAACCTATGTAAAATTGATATAAAATACGGCGCCTTGAACCGAGTTCAATATTTTTATTTCAAACGCATTTAAAAAACAATCCACACAATGGTTTAAAAACCATTGAGATCATTGTCGCCTCATTTCCATGTGCTAAGCAAACCAGAAAATCGCACTGTAGTTAGTGGCTTTTCGCTCAGTGTGAGTGTACGCATTTTACGCGTCGTTTTCAGCGTAATTGTCGCCCATGGCCGATAGCTTCAAAAAAAGTTATGAGATAGTAAGTTTATCAGCCAATCATTGACGGCCTTTCAAGCAAAATCAACCAATCATAGACAAGAAAATAGAGCGTAAGTACTTACGTTCACTTAGCCAGTTTTGAAAGTATGGCCCCAGGTTCTGATGTCTTCAGGGGGAATCATTCAACTCAAAAGTTATGAATTATTTTCTGGCAAGCCTAATGCATTAGTTAGCTGGCAGCAACTTTAATTTATAATCGGACAGAAATTAATAGTTAAGGGTTAGATCTTGCTTTAATTTTGACTTGTAGTATAGAACAGCTGTTTTTATTTCATCAGCGTTGTCAATATAATTAACAATTATTAATATGATTACTAATTATTCATACAATATAATTGATTGAAAAGTTAACTTGGCTAGATAACATTACTTACATACAAGATTGGGCCGTAAACTATCTTATATGACGACGTATATGATGGCATGATCAATTGCTCATTAAGGATGATCCCAAATATATAAATTATTTTAGGAATTAACTTAGCACCTTTTATTTTAGTCGAAAAATTAGCTTTTATTTAGCT